TTTGCGCTCCCTATCTCAGGATGTAGTACTTTTAAAAGCATTCAATTGAAACTATGCACACAATGCATAACTTGTAATGAATTTTTGTGTATTAATGCAAAGGAAGACCATTTCTTTGAATACCATCAAAATACGTTTATGTGTAAAAGCGCTTTTTATGTGTAAAAAAATAAATAAATTTTTAAAAATTAATTATTTTGTGTTATAAAATGTTAGTGTTTTCAGGTTATGTAGCATTTTGAGAGTTAAAACTGCGTTAAAAAATGTCATTCGGTATTTTCGAAGTACCAGAATATTTGAGACCTTTTTGTGGATTGACGGTAATTTAAGGTGCCAAATTAATTAATAAGCTATAGAAAATTAAATTTTCCAAAGTTGAATATTTTATTTATGTGTATAACTTACTTTTCAATGCAGTGATTCAAAACAAATTATTGTCTGAAAAAAATTGCAGTAAATCATAATGCGGTAGATACAGGGTTGACAGGTAATTATTTTTTTTGTTTAAAATTTTCCAACAAAAAACTCACTCTTTTTATTGCATATGACTACGCATAATACTTTGAAAAAAAGCAAATTATAATCTAGTCGAGGTAATTTATAACCTGATGTACCAGAATTCTTTTTGCTAGTTATTTTGTGGGTATTAGCTTTTATTACCTTAAACTAATTTTATTAAACTGACTCTTGTGGTAAGCGATATTAAACTACAATATATCTCCCGTTAGTATTTATGATCTCTTCTAGGTATATTAACCCTCTAACATGATACCTTCCTCCTGAAAAATTATTCCGAAAGCGTTTAACTCTTATTTTGAAGTTCGCTTTAAAAATGCAACAGACTTCTTTCCTTTCCCCCTTTTAGAACTTGGGAGGTCGAACGGGGCAATTTTACGACCCAGTTCGGTCCCTTTGTAAAGTAAGAACCAAGAGATCAATCGTTTACAGCTAGCTGTTAAGTTGCCTTGGGCAATATTCTTTGAAAGCGTAGTGGAATTCGGTTTTTGTTTCTCCCATATGTTCAGTCACAGTAAAATTAAAACAAAATAAAAGGTAAAAAAAAGAGGAAAAAATGAAATAAAAAGTATGTTAGAAGTTGAAAAATAATTAATTTTTCTTCAAAGAAAATTTATTTTTCTGTCATTTTTTAAAAATTAAAATATATATATATATATATTTTTTTGGTATTGCGATTTGAACCAGAAAAAAGCATCCTGTATTCATTTTTGAATATGAGAGTAAGAAAACGCGCTCACTTTCCTGTTTTTTAAAAAAAGTAATGAGGTAAAAAGAGCAAAGGCCCTATCTCATTTTTTAAACAATAACACAATAACTGGTACACACGGTGATATACATACGATGATTATATATTTATGAAATAAAACCGATCTTTCTCTATTCAGTTATATTTTTAGTTTAAAATAGCATAAAAAAGGATTTTAATACTTTTAATTTATTATAATTAAAATCATATAAAAGATATTTTTATGTTAACTGAATATTTTTCGGAAAAAATTTAAACTTTCCTTCCTAGTGTTCTCTTTTTCGAACTTCTTGTATAAAATAAAAATTCCTTTTCTACATCGGCATTTGTGATGGACATAACACACATTCAGTCAATAATTTTTAATTTTAATGGGGGATATACTTCTTCAAATGGGCATGACAGTACTTCTAACCATTTTCTACTCAAGTTAAATTTCTTATCTTTCTGTTTCTTTTATTACAAGGAAAAATGTCACACATCGATAACTACATTTTCACACAATTCAGTCATTACAAATTCTATTGTGAGAAAAGTTCTCCCTAATTAATCTTGTCTTTCAAAACAGTACACTTAAAACAATTTTGTTCAGTGAAGTTAACCAACAGTTTCACAATGTATTCATACCAAATTTTAAAAACAAATTTAACACTTGGAAATTTATCCTGTATTAAATTTTTCAGTATACACAATTATTTCCTGCTGTAGGGAAGATATAGTATGAGATGTGATGTGCGGTTGTGAAAGAATGTTTTCGTACGTGTAGACTATTTCAAATATTGCAACTTAAATTCGCCACTTATTAAAGTGAAACTTTTATAAAAATGAACCAGGCACCGCCAAGAGAAAATATAATTTCGAAATAATGATATCGTATCGGTATACTACTGAAATAACGAGTGCGAATCTAAGACTGTCGCAGCCGAGCCGCAGACGTAAGCACCAAAAAGATACGGAAATTCTCGGAATACTACGATCTACGTCTCAGTATAAAAAAAATAATAACAAAAATCTAGAAATGTGTGAAAACAAACTGTTGTGAATTATATATCGTCCCCTGCGTGGGCGGAGCGTATCGGTCACTGCGCTCAGACCCACGTGGGGTGCTTCCCGATGAAAATGAAATGTAGCAGATGAAAAAGAATCGAAAACTTGGCTTCAGCGCGTTTGGTCGCTGTTGTTTATCACGGTTATTTTTTATTTAAAATCTTGATCTTGGCTTCGGATTCTAGAAGTGCCGTTGTTTTCTAGAATAATTGCAGTCTAATAGTTAAATTGAGGATTTAATATTTGTAAAATTATTAAGTTTTTGTTTTATTGAAGTTTATCGAAATGTTATGAATAAATCAAGAGAAAGACAAACTTGGACTCCACAACACACACTTAGCTCATATTTAATACAAACCGCTAATGTTTGAAATACAAACCGCACAACTTCAAAATCGCATAAAAAAATCCGCATAAAACGAGACCTGAATGTATATATATATATATATATATATATATATATATATATATATATATATATATATATATATATATATATATATATATATATATATATATTGTCAGATAATAACCTAGCATATTTTAAGAACAGGAAAAAAGTTTTTTCAAGGGGCATACCTCCATATTTCATTTATTTTAACGAAAATATATACTTTATTCATAATTTTCCATGTTGTAATTCTGAAACATCTAAAAGTATAATGTAACACAAATGAGTTTTTGAAAATAATATTACATTTTATTAAAAAAATCTGACTAAATATATTATAATTTTATATTTCGATAAAAAATAACCGCATCTTATGATAGGAATGTTTCTTACATGAAATTGTTTTTGTTATCCAACCAAGTATATAACTTTGAACCTTAATTGAATGAAAGCAAAATTAAATCTGCTTTCGAAAAATATATGCCTATAATTTCACGAGAAGCATAAAGTAATTCAATTTTCAATGGAAAAAAATTCAATATTCTTATACTTTTTTCTATCAGTATTAGGTACCTACATAAATTGTAAGGCATATTTTTTAGCTCTCAGAAACTCGAGAGTGAATTTAAGTGTAACATAGAAGCTACAAGTTTTAAGGCGATGTATTGGTACCGAGACATAAAAAACAATATTTTAATGCTGTTCCATCACTATAATTATTACCTAATAATTATATAAACAGGGGGAACATGGCCAAAAATGGAAGGTAGACGCATAATAGACATGCCAGGTAATGAGCTATTTATGAATTTTTGAGTAAAATAAAATTTATATTGTATATTATACATGCAATTTTATAATATATAAAATTGTGTGATAAATTTTTAATTCACAAAAATATTTTTTTTAAAGAATTTGTATAATCTTATACGAAAATATTGCAACATTTTGAAATGAACAAAGTAAAAAGTGAATTAAGAATTCAGAAAGTTTTAAATAATTTCTGACGAATAGAAAAAAATCTTTGTAATAATTTATTGCTTTTTGTAATTCAAAGCACATTTAATTACTAGAGTAAATATTTAAAATTTAAAAATCAAAGATGAGTGTTTTTCTTAATCGACATAAACAAAAACAATAATAAAAATTGAGTGTAAATATGTACAACTTGTAAACAAATGTTTTTTTTCTAATTCTTTCAACTTCAATTCAAAGAGGTTTATTCTGGATTTTATTAAATATAAGGAACTAGAAACATATTGATGAAAAAAAATTCAAATATTCAAACATAAATATGGTACAAAATTTCATAATTTTTATAAATAAGAAGTAAATCCTTATAATATTGCGAATAGAGCTCTAAATAATTTGCGCCCAAATGTCTAGCTATTAGGATGCTAAATCAACATCTTATTCCCTCGAGAGTTTCTAAAGAAGATTCTTTTTTGTAGCCACCAAAGGGGTAATCGTACTAATTACTAACAAAATGATGATTAAAGCCTTCTCCATCTTGTTTGTTATGATTCACATCTGCTTTTACCCATATTTAACTTAATTTTAAAATTAAAAAATAGAAACGAAAAATTACATTTTAGTTTTGTTTTATAAGGCAGCCAGCCCCTTGGTAGCGATAAAAAAGGTTTTTTGCTAAACTTATTTATAATAATTAAGTATGCTATTGTTCAATCATAAGACAAGGTGCAATCTCTAATGTGAACCTTTTCATCTAATCATGGTTTTTGTTCTAATGTTCTTATTTTGTCGGCAATTAAATGAATTTTTGTAAACTTTAATTTAAATTTCAAGATTTAAAATAGATAAAAATATGTTTAATACAATTTCATTGAGTCATTTCACAAATTTTAACAAGTTTTTACTACGTATTGTTTATCCTGCGCTTCACTGTTTCTTCCTTTATATATATAATACTAGCTGTGTGTTACCCATATCCTCTTAGTTATGTATTTCTTTATCTTCACGGAATCTCAACTCGATACCAGATCATTTCAACTTTTTACATTTAAATATTTTCTTTGTTTAACTTGGACTCTTTTGCTGCAACCGGATTGGCTAGGCATCGCCGCAGCCTACTCCCATCACGATAAAAAAGTGATAAAAGAAAGACATTTTTTTCAAGAGAAAATAAAGGTATCTACATCAAGTTTTATCTTTATTTTATTTATATTTGTAATGTTTTCATATCAAAGTATTTTTTTTCTTTTTTAAAAATTTCATTAGTTATATTTTAAATTTTAAATGCTATTTATTCAAAAGTACAACTTGAGTAAAGTACAACGTGGGTAGCCTAGTGGTTATGGCATCCGACTCCAGATCGGATGGCCTGGGTTCGATGCCCGGTGCCACCAAATACCCTCCGAGTACACGCGGAGTACGTGCTCGTTAAATCAGCGGTTCCGTAGTCTTGTGGCTGAATCACGAGTGCAGGGACTGGAGAATATTTCCCTCCCCTTCAGATTCCATGCAATAATTGTGGAGGTGGAGATAGTTAGCGTAACCATCTATCGTCCCTTCGGGAAATTTCGCCGAGCTAAATCGTACTGTCACCTGTATGATGCTCAAGGCAAACGATAGACCCATACAACTCTTGCCCCACACCACGATGAATTTCACGGGCCTTGATCTGACTACGTCAGACAGGTGGCATTAGAAACAACAAGCACAACTTGACAGCGTTTTAATGTAATCCAAAGTTTCTTGAAAAGAGATGAGATTCGGAAGAACTAAGTGCCCAAAACAAGACTACAAACTATTTCGTGATGCTGTATAAAAATATGCAATATATATATATATATATATATATATATATATATATATATATATATATATATATATACAATATATACAATATATATATATATATACAAGAGACGTTGTCCTGTACATACATCTTAAATTTAAAAATTCCAAAATTTTATGAATAAGCTTTATCAATCTGGACAAATTTGAGTAAAATTGAGTAAAATTTCAAACACTAATTACATCTGAATGTAATAATTTAATTGATACACGATTTATTTCATCAAAATAATAACATGAAGTGACTAAATATTTTCATGAAATGATCACTGCACCAACTGCCGGGACCTACTTGAATTATAATAAAAGATTTTTGAATATTCGGTACTTCGATCGTAGCCAGTCTGCCGGATCCAATGTAAAATATCCAAGATCAACAATTTATAAATACAAATTTGAATTAAATAAACATTTCTAAACCGAATAATAAATCTAAATCATTTTGGAGTCCACTGGAACAGACAACAACTTTCATCAAAATCGTTCTAGCCGTTTAGGAGGAGTTCAGTTACATACACACGCATAGAAGAACTACATATATAAAGATTTTTTGAAAAGATATTAATTAAAAACGTTAACGTGAATCGTCTGCATTTTCGTAACAATAAAGAGCGGGTTTGGCCAGTTTGGCTGAAAAATGAATTTTCGACGCCAACGTACATCTTTTCCAATTCCTACTATTAGCTCATGATCTCTATATATTTTATTTGTTTGTTTGTTTATTTATTTATTTATCTTGGTGGAATTTTCAATCGGTAATAAAATACATTTTAAAGCGCTCAATTGAGCTGAAATGTAATGTACATGATTATTTTGGATGACAATACAATAATTTTTTAATTCTAATTAATAAAAATTATATGATTAAAACTAATTATTTAAAAAACTTACAAATACAGCCACGTTGGCGACTTAGCGACCCTTTTGGCGACTTATGTCAGAGTTTAAAAATGTTTTTTTTCTCACGTGTTAAAGCAATCTGTTGAAAGGAAATTTTATATACGCGATTGTTTTGGATGACAATACAATTATTTAATTAATTTTTTATTTATAAATTGTTGATCTTGGAATGTTTTACATTGGATCCGGCAGACTGCGCTACGATCATAGTATCGAATATTCAAGAATCTTTTATTATAATTCAAGTCAGTCCCGACAGTTGGTGCTGTGATCATTTCAGGAAATTATTTTGTCTCTTAGTGTTATTATTTTTTTTAATTAATCGTGTGTTAATTAAATTATTACATTCAGATGTAATTAGTGTTTGAAGAGTTTTGAAGTGTGCATAAAAAGCTATACATTCTCCAAATTTAGTATGCAATTGAAGTGAGCATTCCTTGATTTTCTCACGACCAAATATATGTTGCGTGTTCCAGAGTTCGAAAACAATGTAATTTATTTGTTTATAACCCTCAAGGATTAACCAAAAATATTGTACATCTAATGCAGTGTTTCTCAAAATGTGGGGAGCGCCCCCTGGGGGGTCGCGATACACCTACAAGGGGGGCGTGAGCATATCGAAAAAGAAATATTTAAAACAATTTATTTACTAGAATGAAGTAAAACAAAATACTTTCTGACATAATAAAAAATATACACATTTACACGGAAATAATATATATATATATATATATATATATATATATATATATATATATATATATATATATATTATCTGCGATTTTACATCATCAAAAATAAAATCTTCTACTTTAAAACCTCATTTTTTTAGCTATCTTTGATACTATAACCAAATAAAAAACGTTTCATTCGATTTGCTGTAATCCCATGATGAGAGATTTTTTTTATTACGTTTCTTTTCAAAGCGGAAATGCTACTCTTTCAGAGGAAAGACAAAACCCAGACCCATAATTAAAAAAAATTTTAGGAATATAAAAAATCCATCACTGTTATATTTTATTGCCATCAGCTGTAGGCAGCAGAATGTATTTGCTGCGGTTTGACCTTCGAGCTTACTCGTACGGTTAGTTACGTCCCTGCTCTTATGCATTTGTTTTTTCATTTAGGGAAGTTTGAAGGATTACTAAGCCAATCATAATGAAAACGTTTTACATCATTTTTTAGAACATCCATATTGTAATAAATACACTTTTAATCCGGGAGCGGTCACGCCGAGCACAAAGTGCACCGAATCGGTAATTCTGGCAAAACTGTTTAATTGTTACCAATGGCCCTGACACTATCCTCCTGTTTGACAATCTTAACGTGAACTAAAATATATTTGTCACATATCTCCCTCTTTTTTGGGAGTGACAGACGTTTTTTTACGATCTTAAGGTACTTGTTTTTTCTGAGTTCACGGTGTGATAACTTTTTTTCCGAAATTTTTTTAATGTCCTTGAAAGTAGGTGAGCATATTTTCTCTTAATTAAATTATTCACTGGAATTACGATTTTTATTGTGTACTATAAACATAAATATAAAAAAAGGATTGGGGTGACTTAATAACCCCGCTCGACCATTAGTATCGAGTGCACGTCTGCTCCAGGATTAAAACATGAGAAAGAGAGAGAGAGAGAGAGAGAGTCTTTTCGCTTTAAATGTTAAAAATAATACAATTATTCTTCATCAGAATTTTTTTTATTGTTCATTAGTCAACATCAATTCTACATGCTAATTCTTTGAGGCTTAGAATTACAGTTTGCTTAAAACTAATTATAATTTGAGCAACCCCATTTAAAAAAATCATTTTACATTTTTGTAAACATTGTCGAGTACTTGGCTTTGCTCTCTTTACAATTCAGCTATTATATCAATAATGTTTTATTTTCCTATAAATGAACTCGTGCAAAGAACTGCACGTCAGCCTGTATACATTTAATGTATCAGTGCTGCACAGAGTATTTTATAACTAATTAATTAATACTAAATTAAGAACAAGTTTAATAAGTATTAGCGACTTTAATGGGCTTGTCTTACAGAGCAAATGTTTTTCAAAGGAATGCTTATGAATAGAAATTGACCTTCTAAGTTCTTTTTCTACATTTAACTGATATGTATATTTTGTCTTCTAAGCAACCACCGCATTTTGCAATATGTTCCAATTTAAAAATTAGAGAAAGGAAAAATAACATAATAATTATCCTATTACTTTTTTTTTTTTTTTTGCTTACAAGTAAGATACAAAAAATTTAATACTTATGTCATGAATTTGTACGGTTTATAATAAAGATTGTTGCTTTAGCGTCAAAGTGCACGATGATTGCATTCAGTACAATATTAATGTATAAGGGGGGCGCGATAAAAATTGTGATTGAAAAGGGGAGCGCCAGTATTGAAAGTTTGAGAAGCACTGATCTAATGGCATTAGAATAAATAAAGTTTTTGTACAATTTAATAAATATACCTGTTATAAAATAGTTTGAATCTCGACTTTTCCACCTTTAATTAAAACAAGTTTAAGTTTTTATTCACACAACCTTTACATTTAACTTCGCTCATAGTATACACATACTCACACGCTATCGATTGATTGAATTCTGATAACCGTACATGTAATTACGTTAGACATTGTAATAACTTTTTAATACAAATTTTACTGAAAACGATCCAGATTGGTAAAGCTTATTCATAAAAATTTGGAATTTTCGAATTTAAAATGTGTGTACACAGGGCAACGTCTGTCGGGTCCGCTAGTATATATATAAATCAATTATTGATATCTAACTCCTATAATTAAAAAATCGATTGTATTGAAAAATATTCATATAGCTCTTTCATCAAGATTTGAAAATAACAGAAGGTTTTAAAAATTAAATTAATTTCTAATAATTTCTAAAATCGAAGAAGAATTTTTTTTACGGAACTTGTGTAACTCGCTTCACAAGTAAATTTCCATCAAAATCCCTTTTAGTGGATTTATTCTCAATAAAATAAACATTCTCACTAAATTTAAACCCAATTGTTCAAAAGCGGTATTTTTAGCTTCAATAATCTCCAGTACTACACTTGAGATTTGATTTCCTTAAGACCCGTCTTTAGCGGATTTAAATTTAACAAAAAAAATAATCTTACCAAATATCGTTTCGATATATCTAGTACTTCGAAAACGAATTTTTTTTATCAATAATTCTTAGAAACTCCGTGTTTCCCAATTGGAGTCAATTGCAGTAAAATTCGTTTTAAACGGATCTGCATTCAACAAAAGAAACATGCCTATCAAACTTCAATTCTGTAGGTCTGACAGTTCCAAAACATAAATTTTTATCTCTCACGCTCTTTAAACCGTCGCAATCCTCCTTGGAGGTTAATTTTTTTTTTTTTGCGGATCTGTACTTCAAGAAAGAAGAAAACGTGCCCAATTTCTAGTCAAAATGTCTAATGGTCCATTAACAGGAATTTACATTTAAAACATCCCTTAACCCGTCACCACTCTCCCGATCAATTTTCACGCAATCCGTTCTAAGAGCTCTACACCATGAAAGGACGTGGTTTACCAAATTTCAAGTCTATAGATCTAACAGTTGAAAAATAGTTATATTTATTTATAACGCCCCTTGTGTGTGTGAGCCGTCACAAAGCTCCTTGG